ATGTTTTTAATGTATTGTTGAATGTAGCTTGCTGATATTTTGTTTTGGATTTTTGCATCTATGGTTATTAGGGATATTAACCTCTAATGTCTTTTTCTTGATGGTTCCTTGTCTGCTTTTGCTACTAGGGTAACTAATAATTCCTTTCAATGCATTGTCTCTTAAATCATGCAGAAAACAAGATTTGGAGTTACAAATCAAAGTTATAGTCTTACTGGCTTTTACACTAATTAATTTTGTGCCTTAAATGTAGTAGTTTCTTAAATCATGTAGAAAATAAAAAGTGCAGTTACAAACCACTGCTATAATAATACTACCTTTTATATTTGCCCATATATTTACCTTTATTGAGATCGTTCTTTCTCCATAAGACCTCAAGTTCCTAGTCCATGTTCTCTCAGTTCACTGTGCAGTGCCTCCTTGAGCATTTCTTACAGGCCTGGTCTAGGGGTGGCTGACTCCCTAAGCTTTTGTTTATCTGGGAATATCTTAGCTTGTCCCTCACTTTTGAAGGACATTTTTGCCAGATATACAATTCTAGTGGACAAGTTTTAGTTTTGGCATTTTGGATATATCAGTCTTCTGACATCCAAAGTTTCTGATGAGAAATATGTTGACAGTCTAATTGAGGATCCCTTGTATGTGATCTCTTTCTGCTTTCAAGACTCTCTTTCTCTTTGTCCTTCAAAAGTTTAATTGTAATACATCTCAATGCAAGCCTCTTAGGGTCTTCTGAGCTGCTTTGATTTTTATATTCATGTCTTTCATCATGAACTTTTCAGCCATTATTTCTTTAAATACTCATTCCGCCTGTTTCTCTCTTTCTTTTCCTTCTGGAACTCCCATACTGGGTATGTTCATCCACTTGCTAGTGTCCTGTGGGTCCATTAGATTATGTCTTCTTTTCTTTTCTTTTTTTAAAATATATTTTATAGATTATGCCATTACAGTTGTCCTATTTCCCCCCCTTCATTCCCCTCCACCCTGCACATCCCCTCCCCCATCATCCCCCCCTTTAGTTTATGTCCACATGTCTCAAGTTCTTTAGATTCTGTATTTCCCATACTATTCTTGCCCTCCCCCCTCTCTATTTTCTACCTACCATCTATGCTACTTATTCTCTGTTCCTTCTCCCCCCTTCCCCTCCTCCCATTGCCCTGTTGCTAACCCTCCATGTGATCTTCATTTCTATGGTTTGCTCCTGATCTAGCTGTCCTCTTAATAACTGTGAGTTTGCTGTCCTTTCACTGTTCATATTTTTATCTTCTTTTTCTTAGATAAGTCCCTTTAACATTTCATATAATAAGGGCTTGGTGATGATGAACTCCTTGAATTGGATCTTATCTGAGAAGCACTTTATCTGCCCTTCCATTCTAAATGAAAGCTTTGCTGGATAGAGCAATCTTGGATGTAGGTCTTTGGATTTCATGACTTGGAATACTTCTTTCTAGCCCCTTCTTGCATGTAAGGTCTCTTTTGAGAAATCAGTGTGATGGGAGTTCCTTTGTAGGTGACTGTCCCCTTATCTCTTGCTGCTTCTAGGATTCTCTCCTTCATTTTAATCTTGGCTAATGTAATGATGATGTGCCTTGGTGTGTTCTTTCTTGGGTCCAAGTTCTTTGGGACTCTCTGAGCTTCCTGGACTTCCTGGAAGTCTATTTCCTTTGCCAGATTGGGGAAGTTCTCATTTATCATTTGTTCAAATAAGTTTTCCACTTGTTGCTGTTCCTTTTTCCCTTGTAATACCCCTATAATTCGGATGTTGGAATGTTTAAAGATGTCCTGGAGGTTCCTAAGCCTCTCCTCCTTTTTTTGAATTCTTGTTCCTTCATTCTTTTCTGTTTGGTCATTTTTTTCTTCCTTCTGGTTCACTCCATTGATTTGAGTCCCAGTTTGCTTTCCATCACTATTTCCTTGTGCATTTCCCTTCATTTCAATTAGTTTAGCCTTCATTTGTTCCTCTAATATGTGACTAAAATCAACCAGTTCTCTGAGCATCCTGATCACCAGTATTTTGAACTGTGCATCTGATAGGTTGGCAATTTCTTGGTTGCTTAGAGTTATAAGCTCAGGGGGTTTGAGTTCTTCTTGAGCCATAATGTTTTGCTCTGTTCCCGCCTGTTTTGTATGAGGGGCAGAGCCCTAGGTGTTCACCAAGGCAAGGCAACCCAGTCCCTGGGTTGTGACGCTGTATGTGGGGGCAGGGTCAGAGAGGGGCAATAGTGGTCCCCTCTGCTGCTTCCTTCAAGCAGATGGGGCCTGTGTGGTCTGTCTCACTGCTTGCTCCTTCACCTGGTTTATCTGCATGAGAATGTGTGACCGCGGTCAGCCTGCTGCCTTGTGCCCTCACTGGGTCCGCCTGTCACAATCCCACAACTGGGATCTGCCAACTGGCATCCATGTGCCTGGGTCAGTCTGGCTGAGTTTTCCTGCACAACCCTGCTCTGCCAGTCACTGGCTCCGCCCTTCTTACTAGTCAGGCTGAAAGGTTTGTTGTTGTCGGACTTCCGTTTAGTTCAGTTTTCTGTGTTTTTGTTGTGTTTTTGTTACTAAAACTTTGTTGTCTTTAAACGTGGTTGTGCAAGGAGGCGCAGTGTTTTCACCTATGCCTCCATCTTGGCCAGAAGTCAAGAATTTGCTCTGTCTTCTTTTCTTAATCTTCTTCTTCCTGTTCCTCAGTCTCAGTAATTTCCATTGTCCTATATTCATGTGCACTGATTCTTTCTTCTGCTGGCTCGGATATGCCTTTGAATTCTTATAGGAAATTTTTCATTGCAGTTACTGTATTTTTCATCTCCAGAATTTCTTTCAGCTTCTTTTTGGTATTTCTTTTTATTGATATTTCCATTTTATTCACATACTATTTTCTTGACTTTTGTCACATCTCCCTTTAGTTGTGGGGGTGGGCATCTTTAAACAGTTCTTTCAACATCTTTATTATATCTACCATTGTGTCTTTTTTTCAGGGACAATTTCTGTCAATGTTTTCTTCCTCGAAAAAGCCATACTTTCCTGTTACTTTGTATACTTTCTGGTAACTCTGGAAATCAGATTCTCCTTTTCTTCTTTCCCCCCAGGCTTTGCTGTATATATTTTTATTGATTTTTTTTAAAATTGTGTAGACACCCTTATGCCAAGATCAGCCTAAGGTGTAAACTTAAGGTCTTTTTAGATCTTTTTAAAGCTTTTCCTTGGGAATACATAGGCTACTCAATAATGTTAAATAACATTTCATATTATTGACTGTCCAAGTATCAATATTTTCTTCTATAAGTTTTTAAACTCACGTTTTTGTCTCTTTTTTAATAATTCACTTTCTTATTATTAGTAGGAATTCTTTACACACTGTGGTCTGTCCAGAAAGTATCTAGCCACATACTAGGAAAAATACAGACATTTGTTGAACAAGATACAAGATACAAGAAGCATTGTACATAGGACAATAATGCCTAAGTCTCCTTCAAAGTAGGCACCATGGGATCTCACACAGTTCTCCCTGTTGCCATCAGCTTTCCCGTCGTATTTTCCTGACTCTTATCCATGATCTGAAATCTCTTCTCTTTCAAAGATGATTTTAGTTTTGGGAAAAGCTGGAAGTCACAGGTCTCCAAATCTAAGCTGTAGCAGGGTTGACTATCCTGGGTGATTTGATGTTTTGCCAAAACACTCTGCATGAGATGTGATGCACAAGCAGGCACTTTGTTGTGATGAAGCTGCCAATCACCAGCTGCCAAGAGCTGTGGCCTTCTCAATCATCAAAATAGTTTCTGCAGAGGACTGTTCAAGCTTAAAACAAACTTTGATGCAGATTCATTGCCCTATTTGCTCAGTTGTTTTGAATGCAACAGCCACATATACTCACTCAACAGCATCTACTGTCCCCACTAGTACAGTGAAGTCCTCACTGTTCACACGTGCACATTCCAGTCCACTCTCCTTGGCTGCCAGGTTACATCATTGTCATGTAAACTGTTCTTGTTACGTTAACAATAGTTGGGCTTTTTCCGGACAGACCTTGTATTCCACTAATCGTACTGAAGAGATAGTTATCTTTTTTTTTTATATTGTGATGTCCTCTGCATTCAGAGGGTTTTTCCCACTTTTGTTTAAATTATGGAAATTTTTAGACATACCAAAAAGACAAAATAGTTTAATAAATCTTCTGTGTACCCTTCACAAAGCTTCAACAATTATCAGTATTTTTCCCCAGTAATATTCATCTTTTCCTCAAATTTTTGTACTTTTTGCACATTATCTAAGAAATCATTAAAGATTGCAACACTATTATTTGTGTGGCTGAGTACTTCTGTCATGATAAAATACCCATTCTTTTGTCATGACACTTTATGGCTTTTACTTTTATGTAAATGTCACCTTACATGTAGCAATTCCTAACATATACAACACATTATTCCTAACATATGCAACACATTATTGCACATTATATTAACCTATCACTTCTTTCTGAACAACAAGTACTTTTCTTATTCAGCACAGGCTGTTGATTCAGATCAGATCTTGGGAATCAGCAGTTGTCCCAACAACATCGTATGTGTCACCATAAAGCAGGGGTGTCAGACTCATTTTCACCAGGGGCCACATCAGCCTTGCAGTTGCCTTCAAAGGGCCAAATATAATTTTAGGCCTGTATAAATGTAACTACTCCTTAATTAGGGGCAAGGAGCTCAGCACTGCCACTGGGTGGAAACAAGGTCCCGGGCTGGATAAAACAAAGTGGAGGGCTGGATTTGGCCTGCAGGCCTTGTGTTTGCCAGAAAGCTTATTGAAAATCCCATATGTTCTTGTAAGAAGGCTGCTCAGTCATTGAGATGTCAAACTGTACACCTGAAATAGCTGTTCTGGCGTTTTTGTTTTTACAAAGTAATTCGCCTTGGCTTGGTGCAGTGGCAGTATTGTAGCCAGTGTGGTTTATCTGAGGCACAATTATTGCTAATTGAAAACTTTTCCCAGAGTAATTCGATGTCTCCCTTTATTTTTAGTGTGCCACCTGGGCTTGAATGCGTGAAAGAACAAGAGCTCTGCAACAAGATAATGGCTACAATACTAGAAAAGTACAATACCCTGTTTGAAGTAGAATGCGTAGAAAATGATAACCACAGGTTTGAAAACCCAATGAAGCTCGTCATAGTAAAAGTAAGTAAAAATTGCTATTTAATTTCCAGTATTGCTGTATTTTGCATGAAAGTCGTTTATTTAAATCTTTCTTTGTCATAAAAATTCCATATAGATATAATTTCAGAATATCATTCCTATGTTTATTTAATTCTTTTTATGAAGTCTATTCTGTGTATCAGTGTTTGTATTCTTCTAAGATTAGAGAATAATTTGAACTGATGTTTCCTTGCTGCTATAAAATCATCTCAGAAGCATTTAATGTGTGCTCAGTGTTGTGGTTGATCGGGTGTGCCCCCTTTCTGTGGTAGTCTGGTGGTAGAGGGGGATATGACATACGCTTATGTCCATGTTCAGGAGTGCTAGCCTACTGAGTAAACTGCAAAATTCCTTTAGACAGTATTACTGTGTCTTTTTGTCTTTCTTGTGTCTGGCATACTTTCAAGTTCAACTTTAGATTTTAAGTCCCATATCTGTAATCATTTGTAACTATTATCAATAAAGGAGAGTATTTTTAAGACCCATAAAGGAATTCTTGATAATACTATCTAAATATTTATATGCATTGGCTGATAATTTATAACATTCTTTACACATTAGGTAAATGCATGTAGGTCTCTTAAGATTTATAATTGAGAGTTAGAGGATAAACATCCAAACTAAACCCTCCAGATGAGGGGAAAGAGGGGGGGGCATCTACTTCTGTCTCATTTACATTGAGGTGAATCATGATGAAACTGATAGGGAAGGTTCCCTTGGGAGGTTTCCTGAAACTTATCAGATTTGTAGACTGTACTCTTGTTGACTCATATGGCAGTGAATAATAAGATGTACTTGGCATGGGTGTTGAAAGGGTGTTTTTGTTTCTTCTTCCAGTTGAGGCCATGTCTTTGAAGAACTAACAGGCAATGGGTACCAAGTAGCACCCTATCAAAACAGCAAAAGAAGTCAAAAACTGGGTTTTCTTAAATGGGGGCTCATGTTATTAATACACCAGATGCACTGTAAGGGATAGAGCACATCTGACAGAAATACACTAGACAGGAATCTTGCCAAAATTATGAAGAGAACTTTAAACTGAAATTTGCACGCAGGGAAGAGCAATGCTCAGATAAAATGGTACAATGAAATACCATGGAGAATATCAAGTGTAACCCAATGCCTGAGGTAACATGGAAGCTGAGAAAATGTCAGTGATTAAAAAGAGATAAGCAGAAAAAAAACCTACTTATATGAGTTTTGCTACCAAAAAATGAAATAAATTGTTTTCTAAATAGAAAGAATTTACTTTTAATTTGTTCTCTCGGTTCTTGTAGTACTTTGCGAGGGGTTTCTTTTTAAAATGTTAGAACTGTGATTGACTTTCTTTCAGCTCTATGTCTGATAAATACTTTTAACAGTCATACCTTTCAATGAGGTCTGATAAAATAATGAGGAAATTCTCAAATATAATGAAAATAGGCAAGACAAACTTTCTGAGATTTAGGTAATCTCGAGACTATGTCAACAAAGGGTTATAGCCTATGCAAGTAAAATCACACTGATTGCGATACACAAAAGAGTGCCCTGCCTAGAAATCCTTAAGCTCGTAGCTTTAAGCATGGTGGAGAACACAGCATGGGAGTCCAGGATAAGACACATCAGCCACAAATACTGTGTGAGCTGAGTACAGAAACCTGAGGTGGATGCATAGGACTGCTACTCTCCCAGTGCAAGTTCCAGATCTGGCCCAGAGGCAGGCGGATGTCACGACTGGAAACTACACGTCCATGCTCTGGAAGCATCATTCTGCTAAAGCAGAATATTTTATATATTTTTTTACTTATCATGCTAATACTCTTATCTCTGAGGGGGTAGGTATTGCAACAGGGGGCTGCAATGTTATGAACTTAGTTGTAACCAATAAGGATGAAACAGAAGTTATGGACATTGTTTTAACAGGATGTACCAATGCCATTTTAGGTTCCCTAATAATGAAGAATATGCTAGCCACAGTTACATGTATAAAACTGGACATTGTTTAGAAAGCAAATTTTTAAGTTACTGAGATCATAGAAACATATAAACCAAGAGGAAGCTAGAGAAAAAAAGAAATTGGGAGGCTGACAATGAAATCATCAACATACTGAAAATAGTAAATATAAAAGGGCAATCCAAATTCAAGTTACCATTCCAATGTGTACAAAAAGAGGTAACGGGCACAAAACAATTGATAAATACTCAATATTTGAGCTGAAAATAAGCTTAGGCTCATGAAAACCACTAAGGTATCAAACAGCAAAAAAGGTATTTTAAATGGGAAAAAACACTCAACATGTCCACTAACACACTTCTGTGTACCCTGGGATAGGAAACAAAGTCAAAATATTGGCTGACATTTTCATGATATTTGGGGGCTAAAATGGAGATTTGGGGCTCAGATGAGTATAAATTGATTGTATTTGGTCCTGAATGAATAACTTTGACCAAAGCATTGGATGTGAATTGGTGTTAACTTCAGGAGGGGTCTCTACATTTATTTGTGTTATCAGTACTTTAATCACTGATTTGAATAAACATATTTGCAAGTGAAATAAAGCTGGAAGAATATAGGTCAGATATTGTCTGGTAAAGAGTAACAAAATGGGGTATGTGTGTGAGAGAGAGCGTGCATGCATCTGTTGTAGACTGCTCTGCCTGGTTCAAGAAATTGTATCTCGACCCCCTGTGGCTAAGGGCAAGCCATGACCTTTGGAATGCGAGCCCCAGGAGACAAAGCTTACCTCTGGTAGCAAATGCTGCCTCAGTTTCCTCTCCCTGCCCCCAAAGCTTGGTTGGAAGTCAATGATGGGTAAGACCCCTCACAGCAGGGGGCAACCTAAGCCAGACTTCTTGATCACATGGGAGGCCTTCATAGGACTCGGGGAGGGGGGAGCTGCAACAAAGAGGGAGCAATGGACTCTCGCCCCCGGCTTTGACAAAGCCCAGGTCCCCATGTCTTCTGGGAGAAGTGCTTCCTGGCTCTAATCCCCTTACGCCTGAATAACTGATGGGGAGGGGTGCAGCTCCTTGCCTTGGTAGTGTGTCCTGGGGAAAAATCTGGCATCACAAAAATTTCCTGATAAACCTGTGAAATCTGCTCTGCTAAGAGTGCTTTCATTCATATGTTAAGGGTTCGAGCGGGAAACCCTAAAACTCTGTTCCTGACAGACTCTGACTCAGACTAAGACCTCAGATTTCTTTGAAATGTTATCTACTGTTTGATTCTTGCTGCCCTGTATTCCGATGTATTACAACCCAATAAAAGTCTCTAGAGGAGGGGGCTCAACGCCTTTTTTCCCTGAGAAACAGACCAGTGCTCACAGCCTTTTTCCTCTGGGAAAATGACCACCTCTCCTCCCCAAGCAGATCACATCATGTCTCAGTCATGTTTACTTTCATCCGTGGCGGTCGGGGGGGGGGGCATGCAGAAAAAGTCGCCCCCACATGCATACACCCATACTGCCATTTCCCTCTTCTTTCCTTGCTTAAAATAACTAAATAAAATACAATTTTATTTGGACCTGAAGCTATGTGTTGAGGTCAGATGGGCAGCCCCAAGGGATGAATGAATCATATATAAATGGTCTATAATAGAGTGGTGTTATAGTCACTCTTTAGTCAGTGATTGATGTAAAAGCCAGAAGAGACACATTTGTGGCCAAGAAGATGTACAGTAAAGCGCCTCTAGGAAAGATTTCCACCCCTGATTAGAGAGAGAATCAAGAAATATTTAAGAGATAAGGGCTGCAGTTGCCTCTGGATGGCATTAGGGGTGGTGGCGATGTCCATGGTTAACTTGGATAGTGTTCAGGGAGCTCTCTGGGGTGATAAAAACGGTCCATATTTCAGTAGGGAAGTGGATATGGGTGTGTGCATGTGTCAATACTCATTCAGTTGTACACTTAAGATTCATATCTTTTACTGAACATGAATTGTTTTTAATTTACAAAAGAAAGAAAGATGGTAGACCTCTGAATCAAAATGCCAAAAGATGGAGGTGTAGGTGGAAATACCTTGCATCCGCGCACAACCAAATCTAAAAACAACAAAGTTTTAACAATAATAAACACAACCAAACCACACAGAAAATCGACAATATGGAGTCCAAGAACAATGAAATGCTCAGCTAAACTGGTAAGAGGGGCAAAGCCAGCAGCAGAGCAGGTTGGCCAAAAAGATCCCCGACCAGGGTGGTATGCAGGCAGCTGAAGGTGCGGATCCCAGGTGCAGGCTAGCTATGGGCAGACACAGGGAAGAGGCACAGCTGGCTGTCTGCGGTGGAGCATTTGCATGCAGATAAACCAGTAAAGAGGTGAGCATTGAGACCGCATGGCGCAGGGCGGCGGGCTTGCACATTTGTGCTCAGATAAACAGGTGGGAGTGAGCAGTGGGACAGACTGGGCAAGTAGAGAGGACCACCATTGCTTCCTCTCTGACCCCGCCCCCATATATAGCATCACAAACCAGCGACCTGGGTGGCCCCACTCTGGTAAACAACTAAGGCTCTGCTCCTCATACTTAACAGGCACCAACAGATAAAAACATAGCTCAAGAACAACTCAGAGCCCCAGAGCCGATAAATCTAAGCAATGAACAAATAGCCAAACTTTCAGATGCACAGTTTAAAATACTGGTGATCAGGATCCTCACAGAACTGGTTGATTTTAGTCACAAATTAGAGGAACATATGAAGGCTAAACTAATTGAAATGAAGGGAAATACACAGGAAACCAATAGTAATGGAAAGGAAACTGGGACTCAAATCAAAGGAGTGGACCAGAAAGAGGAAAAAAATGACCAAACTGAAAAGGATGAAGAAACAAGAATTCAGAAAAAGAGGAAAGGCTTAGGAACCTTCAAGACATCTTTAAACATTCCAACATCCGAATTATAGGGGCACCAGAAGGGGAAGAGGAACAGCCATGAGTGGAAAACTTATTTGAACAAATAACAAAGGAGAATGTCCCCAATCTGGCAAAGGAAATAGACTTCCAGGAAAT